CATATATATTACTATGGAATTTGTAAATTAATCCAAATTTAAGGTTATTTTTGTTATACTGCATATATGTTCCTACTCTTTTTTTAAAGATATTGTACCTATGCAGATCTCTTTAAAATGTAATATATGATTAAGAAACACAGTTAGTCATCTATAATAATCAAACTTGTAGCCATGTAAAACATGTTTTAAAGGTTAAATGGGGATATATTTTAGATAAGTAGGTGGTCTTCAAATACTTCAGAGACCTACAGAATATGGCATGTACGGGGTGTTTCAGTGACCTAAGCTTTTCATGACAGTGAGACATATCTTCTCCTGGCAGCACCAATCTACTTCATAAAAGAATTATAGGAACTGAAGAACCTCCATATGAAGTTTGCATTTTTGTGGCAAAAGTTAGCCACTGGGCAAGAAACTGCCCTTGATGCAACAGACGATCAGGACACACAAAATAGTGATTGCTGAAAACTCTCAAGACAAGGTAGACAGTCCACCTAATTCCTGCCTCACAGAAAAGTCTATCAGATATGCTAGGCTTGTAGACTGAAGATGGGAGCTGCAATGTTGCAGAAAAAAAACTTGCCTGACAGTCCAGGGAGCCAGATATCTCTGTCATTTCTATAATATTAGAAGGTTCGTGTTCTGTACTTCCTGTTTACTCCTGTTTATATTCTTCTGGGTCTCTGATAGAGTGGAGACAAGATATTATGGTTACGGTTTTCCTTGTTACCAAATTCAGAAAAGAAACTCTCAAAAAAAGAGTTATAAATTATATAAGACTGAGGGACATAAAAGTTTAAATTGTTTATTAAAGAAAATGTGTTGAGGTCTAAAAAGATAGTTTTGGTTTGGTAATACAAGTTAGGTCAACTCACCAAGATGGGATAGATAATGGAATATTTTCTCTGAATTTGCCAAAAACAGATAGACTGGACATTGTAAATCTAACTATTACCCGATAATTATTCTTACTGTATATAGTTTTACTGTGTAAAAGTTAAAACCTTTTCTTTTTATTTAGACAAAAGGGGGGAAATGTTGTGGGATATTTGTTTAGTGTGTGACGATATATTGCTGTGATTGGTTTAATAAAGAACTGAATGACCAATAGGAGGGATAGGTGGAATTTTCAGGGAGAGAAAGAGAAGGAGGGATCAAGGGGCAGGATGTGCAAGATGGAAACGAGGTAATACCACATGATAGAATACAGCAAAATAAATGTCCAAACTGAGTCAATTCCAATACTGGAATTACCTAGTTGGAGCATGGCAAAACACCAGGGATTATGTGACCAAAGTCCTATAAAAACCTAGCAGTTGAAATGTAGAATTGACGGTATTTTTCCCTTTACAGGGTCTTGGGTGTACTTGGTAGAAGCACACGGCCAGGAGAGGACTTTTTGACCTATTTGGATAGGTGTGGCAGTGCCCTAGCTTAGTGCTGACTACGAGGCCTACTCCACTGAGTTAGTTTGCGAGTAAGAAAACCAGATATTGATGGAGGAAGGTCATTGGTTAAATAAAAAGAAACTTCTTGGCCCTCATTGGTTAGAGATAGGTGGGAGGAGTAAACAGAACAGAACGCTGGGAGGAAGAGGAAGTGAGCTCAGACTCCACAGCTTTCCTCTCGGGAGCAGACGCCTCAGAGAGATGCCATGCTCCTCCGCTCTCCCGGGCAGACGCTCGCGATGAAGCAAGCCGCCAGGTTAGACATGCTGAATCTTTCCCGGTAAGACCGGTGCTCACAGATTATTAGAGATGGGTTGATTGGGATATCAGAATTAGCCAGTAAGGGCTAGAGCTAAAGGGCCAAGCAGTGTCTAAAAGAATACAGTTTGTGTGTTGTTATTTCGGGCATAAGCTAGTCGAGCAGGTGGCTGGGGTGCTGGGAACGCAGCCCCGCCGCTCCTTATTACTACAACAAGATATTATTTCAGAAAAGAAACCTGAGATACACCTGGTTTGCAACTGTCAACAAAATTAGAAGAATTTCCCTTGGCAATTTTCAATTAAGGCAGTGCCATTGTAAATGTTTATAATGTTTCAGCTAAGTCTAAGCTTTAGAATATATACATAAACTATCTCCCTTGCCCCATATAAATATAAATATAAATATGTTTCTTATTTTCATGCATATTTACTTTGTGGCTAGTCTAAATTACCTGTGTTTTCTGCAGTTTAGATCTGTCTTCCCCTTTCCTACTGTCTTTATAAATATAAATATGTTTATATTTATATGAGGCCAGGGAGATAGTTTAGTCAGAAAAATACCTGCAATGCAAGCATGAGTTTGTGAGTTTGGATCTAATGCGTGCGTGCACGCGCGCACACACACACACAGACACAATAACCAGGTGTGGTGGTGGTGTATATCTGTAACCCCAGTGCTGAGAAGGCAGAGACATGTAGGTCCATGAAGCTCTTTGGTTACCCAGCTGAGCTGATATGATGAGCTCCAGGTTCAATGTCTCAAAAACAAGATGGAGAACAATTGTGGAAGACACATGACATCAGGAAACATGCATACACACACACACATCAATAAGACACATGCATCTGCACCTACCAGCACAAGTGCACACCTCTCATACCCGTGTACCCATACACAGAAATTCACACACATAAACACAACACACACACACACACACACACACACACACACACACACACACACCACAGATCACCATAAACTCAACATGACATTCTATAATCTATATTCTATTCTACATATATTCCTCTCAAAGAGGGACTAGAGTCATATAATCAATTTTTTATTTTTAGAAATATCCTTTTAGGCAAGTTTTAAATCTTGGTATCTTTATGATACATTAGTGGCAGGCAGTCCTTATTTCCATGCATATTTACTTTGTGGCTAGTCTAAATTACTGTGTTTTCTGCAGATTAGATCTGTCTTCCCCTCTCCTACTTAGAAATGGAGAGTGATGGGCAATGCACAACTACTTGAGAAGGCCAGAATGGCACTTTGTGGGGAGGTCTGCACAGGCAAAGAGAATTGCAAAATCGAAGCCGGTAATTGAGTAAGACAGAGAAAACGAAGGTACATTTGTTCTGTTTGTCTACGTGTGGCCTTCTTTCTTTGCTTTCCTCAGCTTTTTATGACCCAAGCAGTCAGAAGAAGGAAAATGTGTGGTTACCTTGCAAAGGCCCTCTGAAATCTGAGTTTCGTTTGTTTTGGTTGTTAATGAATGAACCTGTTGTATATAGTCTCAAAGTGGGGGGCAAATAGGCTAACACAGGTAGTCTGCAGGTGTGAGATGTGGACCTAGATAACTGTCTTTAAGAATCATGTCTTTATGGAGAATTCATATATATATTTGAAGGAAAGATACTGTTTGATACTGGCTTTAGGATCTTATTTCTTTGGAGATGTCAGTAGAAACTGATAAGAGATTCTGAGATGAATGGTATCTCTCTCTCTCTCTCTCTCTCTCTCTCTCTCTCTCTGTTTTTCGAGACAGGCTTTCTGTGTGTAACAACCCTGGCTGTCCTGGAACTAACTCTTGTAGACCAGGCTGGCCTTGAACTCACAGAGATCCGCCTTTCTTTGTTCCCAATGGGCTTAAAGGCATGCACCACCACCACCAAAATGGTAGTTTGTTAATAACATGTTTTTTTTTCTTTCTGTTGTTTGTTTCTATATGAATTGATACAGTGTGTGGATGAAGGACAAGAAATACTTAATCTCTAGTACTTCCTGTAACCATTCTAAAGGTGTCTCCATCACAAGGATAAAAAGGATGTTGGCCTTACTTCCTTTACTTTTGTCCTTGGGGGAGATTGAAGAACAAAAAACAGGCAAAACTGCACCATGGCATACTTGGGCTTAGTTTCAAGGCTTCCGTGAAGTATACAGGAAATATGGGATAGACGCCAATGGCCTTGGTCCTCCCCCACTACTGTTGGCAATGTTACAGAATGAGTTCTAGGTGACTACCTGCAAAGAAGATGTGGGGATTTTAATTGCTCCGGAACATATGGCTGAAGCATATAAACTTCCAATACTCAATGAATTGAAATTGATCATGCAGACCAGAATCATTGCTTAATGGCATGGGAGACTTGTAGGCTTATGGACACCCTCGATCACTATAAATAAATGCTTCTTACTATTTTATAATTTGGCTTTAATTTCTCAGAGCCGTCAAACCTCAATGAGAATGCAACGCTAAAGACTGTGTTTTTAATAGGCTAATAATGTGAAACTGTACTTAGAAATATTTATGTCCCATTTAGAAGTAGATTAAAGGCAGCAATATTATTTTTGGAGGCATTGTACAGTTACTGATCAGAATGACTTCAATCAGTCTTCAATTTGTTTCTATTCAGGATCGCAGAGAAAGCTGCATTTTATAATGGAATTTGAGAGAACCCACAACTTCTAAAGCCCCAGGGGAATGTTTTTGTATTGCAGAAGAACTAGACCACAGTGCCTGGGAGCCACCATGGCTTTCTGTTTGTCTTTCCTATTCTGCTCCTTATTAGGCTCTGGGAAAAGTGACTTTTTCTCACCCACGGTGACAGTTAGGTGATTCTTGTGCTCAAATCATCTACAAGAAGAGCTTGGAATTCGTGTTCCTTAGACAGTTGCCAATTCTTCTAGGGAAGATTAAATGCCCCTATCATACATGCCATACCCTGCAGTTAACAAGAAAGAGGGTCAATGTAGCATGGCCCCATCTCTGCGGTGACCGCAGTGGGACCGTCAACCCGGCCTAAGGGCCTTCCACTTCCATGTGGTATAGCAGCCAAGATAGTCGTCAAAAATGAACAGGACTAAAAAAAAAAAAAAAAAAAAAAATGAACAGGACTATCAAAGGGCTATCGTTGCATTTTGGGATGTTTAAGATTATGAACCCCCTTTTGTGTGGCTCTAAACTTCTAAAGCAGGGATGTCTGGTGTTAGGGGCAGAGGCATTTGGGTTGTGGTTAAGTCCACCTGTTTATATCACAGAAGACAATTTAAGGGTCACTGCTTACCCGTGAAGTTGATTTTCAGCAAATAATCCTTGTACAATTTCTTTCCGTCCAGGATCTTCATCGCATCACAGAGCTTGGTGGTGTTAGGACAGAGGGTACGCTGCATTTTGTGCAGCGCATGCGCCATGGCGTAGACTGCGTTCACCACAAACATGATCTTGGATTCTTGCTCATAGTTGCTGCTGTCAATGGCCAGGTGCTTGTCGCAAACCCGTCTGTGGTTTCTCTTGTTCTGGAGGCTGCACTGGAACTTCTGCTCCCAGAAGTCTCGGAACCAGGGGTTGCGGTGATTGTTGTAGGGGTTGAGGCTCTGGAAGTAGCGGTCGAATTGGCGAACAGGATGGGACGCCAGCTCCAGGGTGATGGCTCCGTAGGCTACGTGCTCACTGCCCTTGACGATGCTCTCCTGCGCGCCCCAGCCGTCGCTGGCCACCCAGGTGAAGGAGGCATTCACGCGGCTGGCTGCGGCGATCAGCTCTCGGGAGTCATCACTGCGCATGAATAGGACCACGACCCGCGCGTTGGGCTTCTGCAGCAGCTCGCGGATCACGCTGTCGTAGGACTTGCGAATGTTGGAGCGGCCCACCTTCTCCGCAGTGGCGATGCAGATGTTGCGCAGCCGGGCTTCCTGCTCGAAGGCCTCAATCCCCGTCTCCCCGTAGTCACCCTCAGAGGCGACAGTGGACACATAGGTCCAGTTGAAGAAGCGCAAGATCTCGGCCATGGCTTTGGCCTGGTAGAAGTCAGGGGGCACGGTCCTGGCAAAGTAATCATAGCGCGACTTGTCGCTGAGTTTGGCGCTGGTGGAGGCGTAGCTTATCTGAGGGATCTGGAAGAGCCTCAGCAGGTTTGCCACCTGAGCAGAGAGACAAGGAAAGCACCTTTTAAAAAAAACCTCAAGCAAATGATTGTGCATAAGAAATATTAACACAATAAACGTCTGTTAGCAGCTTCTTTTTCATGTGGAGGTCACTTCTTGAGACATTAACCGGATGCTTTCCTGAGTACAGTGTTTAGATATTGGGGAGCCAGTAGGAAGCAAGTAGCGTATGCTGTAGGGAGAGCACGTGAAAAATGGAAGGTCATCATGACTGGAGCTTTTTCAGCGCGGCGCTAGACTCTAGGCTAATGAAACCCGATCAGAGGCTCTGAACGTGGTTGTTTTAAGCTCCTGAGGTCCTGCTATAGCTCAGCCAGACAATGAACTACAGTGAAGTGGCCAAATTCAGTTTTCAGACAACTTGGCTGTGGCTGTATAGAAAGATCCCGGTGTTTAATTCTCACTTCCCCCTCTTTTGCTAAAAATGGCAATCTCTGAAAGAGTTTAATTTGGGAATGGAGTGCCACATGGACAGTCCAAATTAGATATTTATTATCTGGGTTAACACAAAGGAAAAAAAATTCAATTCTATTTAAATTCTATTCCGATCGTCTAAAATTTTAGGTATATAATTTGATAAACTTCTGAAACTACAGTAACTTTTTCTTTGCCTTGTTTTTTCTTAAAATTTGTAAAAGGAAAGCATACAGATATGTATTGTACTTTCAGTTAAAAATCAATTGAAGAAGTATTGATGACTCTGTTAAGAATGATTGAGTACTTTGAAATAGTTAAAGCCTATGCCGAGTAAAAAAATTAAAGTTTTTATAAGTCAGCTATCAACATTTCACTATTTTTATTTATTGTACGAGAAAAAAAAGAAAGTGATCCCAGTTTATCAAGGAGTGCTGCATAGATAATTTTAAAATAGTATAATTGTACAGATCAAAGTATATTATATACATATTCCAATAAGATATGCAGGATGGCACACACATTCAATCCCAGCACACTGGTGTGTGGGCGGGGGAAGGGGTCGACAGAGGTAGGCAGATCTCTGAGTTTGAGGCCTTGTCTACAGAGTGAGAGCTAGAACTACCAGGGCTGCACAGAGAAACCCTGTCTCGAAAACAAAACAAAACAATTAAACAAGAGTATTTTTTTATTCTTTCTGACTTCTGAAAGGTTGTCTTTGTGGACTTTACGTTACATAACTGTCTCTGTCAACTTTAATAGGCCAACAAGTTGAGTATTTCTGAAGACTATATCCTGGGATGAGTTTAGGTCCTTTGAAAATTTTCTTCTGGCAAGTGAAGTTTTGCGTTTACATATGACATGCAGGGAGATCAGCTTGAGATGGGCTGCTCTGAGCCCAACAGAAGCAACATGACGCCATGGGCATCTGAGTCCTGATTAATACCCATTTCATGTAGCAAAGGAAACCATCAACCAGGTTTATACACAGCGACACAGCATGGAATTGGAGAGCTGGCCTGCTATTAAGAATAACACAGATATAGTCAGTGCTATCAAAAATATTTCCCAATTCCAGTAACTCTCACGTAACTCCGGCTGGGAATTCTGAGATGTGACACACCAAATAATGGAGAAATTAGAATCTCAAGTGGAGGTGAAAGGTTGGCTGTATCGGAGGAATGTAGCTCTACTCTGCTAAGGACAGGATGACATGTTTACATTGACCCATCAGAGCACAGGGATGACGTCCCTACACTACCCATCAGATCACAGAGCACAGAGCACAGGGATGATGTGCCTACACTACCCATCAGAGCACAGGGGTGACATGTCTACACTCCCATCAGAGCACAGAGCACAGGGATGATGTGCCTACACTACCCATCAGAACACAAAGATGATGTGCCTACACTACCCATCAGAACACAGGGATGACATGCCTACACTACCCATCAGAACACAGGGATGACATGCCTACACTACCCATCAGAACACAGGGATGACATGCCTACACTACCCATCAGAACACAGGGATGATGTGCCTACACTGACCCATCAGAGCACAGAGCACAGGGATGACATGCTTACACTACCCATCAGAACACAGGGATGGCGTGCCTACGCTGACCCATCAGAGCACAGGGAAGACATGCCTACACTACCCATCAGAACACAGGGATGTTGTGCCTACGCTGACCCATCAGAGCACAGAACACAGGGATGACATGCCTACACTGACCCATCAGAGCACAGGAATGATGTGCCTACATTACACATCAGAGCACAGGGATGACGTGCCTACATTACACATCAGAGCACAGGGATGGCGTGCCTATGCTGACCCATCAGAGCACAGGGATGGCATGCCTACACTGACCTGTCAGAGCACAGGGATGCTTTTTCTTATTCAGGCTAAGTGCAGGTGGCCCTGAATTGGTACTGTTATTACTCCTAGTACCTGACTTCCACTGGACTTATGTGCCACTATGACAACTGTGCTGATGCAATCCCTTTCTCTGCAGAACCTGGATATTTTGGGTAGCAGAAGAAAGGACATTTCTTCTCCAGGCAATGCTTTTATTATCTTCAAGTTGGAGTCACTAGAACTTGAATCCTCTAGGGAGACATAAAATAAGAGAAACTAAACAAAAATATACCCAGAGGCATTATTTCCTGGAAGTGAGGAACCATAGTTCCTAAGTTGTTGAAATTTTCTTCTCCCAAAGGGGTAAGGAAGTGTTCAAGATAAAAACGTTCTTGTCTTTTGACTGCTAGATCCTTATGGCGTTATGTCTGCCTCTCCAGAATGTCTGAGAACAACTTATGGTTAAGAAAAGCTGCACAAGAGAGTAAGTTAGCTCCAACGTAATGGCAGCATGAACCTTAGCTGTACTGAGAAAGTGTGGTGTGAGCTGAAGCTGCTTGAGAAAGCGGTGAGCTCGTATAAGAGACTGACGATTGCCATTGCTTTTACTGTGGCTGTATATGCTCCCCTGCATGTGTGCTTAAGGGAGCTACAGTTAACTCTAGAAAAACAAGGCAGACTTGCTGAGGTAAGATATAAGGATGGAACTTTTGTATGTACAATATTAACTATGTCATCTATATTGAACAACATGGAGCAATAATATGAAGAAATGCTATTCAGACTTACATTATAAACACATTTACAACAAATTAATAATAGGGTAAAGTATCAAAATATTCTTCATTATGTTGAACTGTTCATTTAAAATTAGTTTTCTTAGTTATAAAAGTAATAATTCTGAATTTGTAAGTAGATACCATAGAAGAAAGATTATTATTCTCTTCTCCTTTTCCTCCCTCCTCAGTCTAATCTTATTTCTACAGAATAATATTCAAAATTTGGTATTTGCATTTTTATGGATCCACTTATAAAATCTATGACCATTTATAATGACTGTGTGTGTGTGCTTGTGTGTAGGTGTGTATGTCTGAATCCACACGTGTATTTTCTTTTTGGGTAATTATGAAGGCCTTTTGATGTAAATATTATTTTCATTTCAACATACAAAAATGAATTCTACAAACTCATGAGATCTTTCCATAGTTTTACAGTTACAGCATAGCAGAAAATCAAAATGCCAAACTAGGTGTTTGGCTGTCAGGACCATGACTGTGCTCTTCTATCTCCCTCTATACCTCTACTGTGTGGGTATCATTTTGAGACTTGAAGTGTGGAAATATTCAGCCACAGAGACCACAAGATAAAGGAATAGCAGTAGAGCTTGGTGAATATCATCCACTACATACCTGATGTCAGTAGGCGTGCTTGTTTGTGCATGGTCATGTGTGAATGCAAATGCATGCCTGCCACAGTACATATGTGAAGGGAAACCTCAGGGGATGGTGCTTACCTTTTACCTTTCCAAATAAACCCAGGCTTCTGGAGGTTCTTTTGTCTCTAGCTCTTCTCTTGTCCTAGGAGAGGTAGGGTCACAGACGTGTGCTACCACATCTGACTTCATGTGGATTCTCGGGATTCTCTTTCAGGCTTTGTGTTTACTGTTTATGCAGTTAGTGACTCAGTCACTGATTCTCTCCACAGACCTCTGAACTTTTCTTTTTCTAATGTCAAATTGAAAATTTGGGGTCGAGAGATGTCCAGTGTGTTGTCAGCTGAGTTCTCTGTCTCATTTGTTGAAAAACTGGGCCCTTAGAACATTCTTGACTTGCTAAGTGGCCAGATGGTTTCTTGGAGAAAGCATGAGGAAGTGAAGAAAACTCCTACACTGGACATCATTTTGAATGATAAAGGAAGCACCTTCTAAAGATGGGGAAGTAGTGTGAAGTTTGGAAGAAAGCTATCCTGTTATGTTATTATTAGTAGGAGAGGAAGGAGGAAAACCAAGATCTATTTATATGTTTTAGACCAAAGCATTTTCAAAGAAGATTTGTCCTTTGTATAAGTAGAAATTATTTGAGCAATATAGTTTAAGAGAAAAAGAAGGATTTAAAAATAATTTATACAATATAGTCCCCATAAGAAAGAGAAGATAATCCCCAAGTCCCACTGGTGGATGGGATGCATGAGAGGATTGAGGCTAAGGAATAAGGGGAATAGATGAGTTGGGAGTATCTGTGCTCAGCGTGTAACTGAGCGTGAACTCATGAGAAGTGCAGACAGTACCAAACAGAATATGAAATGGAAGCGGGGTTTGTTATTGTTTTTACTCTGACTTGTCCAGTAAGTAGGAATGGGGCTAATGGCTGAAGAAGTTGATTTTGTAAGTATAACAATGTCTGATTATGGTGATGGATATCTAAAAGCACAGAACCTGGCTGGGCTAAGGCACAAGAATGGGGAGCATGAGGCTTGCATGGGCTTCATGGAGAGATCCTGTCTTTAGAAGTGGATGCCAATATTATCCCCCCCCCCACTTACTTCTCAATCAGATGCAATCTAACATGGAAATGGTGATGGAAATAAAGATAATATGAAGTATTTATCTCACACCAAGTCTCTCCAGAATGTAAGAAAAGCTCATAAAAATCATATTCAGTTTGCTGCTATTGATGCATTCCAGAAAATTCTGGAA